TTAGAAGATAATCTGGTGACCATGAGGTCCGTGCTTCAGAAGATAATCTGTGACTATATAAGAGGTCACACTGGATCTCTGATCGGCGGTGAAGAGGTCGTTGCCTGAGACGTGGACGGAAGGAATGAGGACGCTATGAGGAGGATGCTCTTTAGCTGCAGCCATTGTGAGAGTCCCTGGTATTGTGCCTTGCCATTCTTTGTGATAAGCCCCTTCCTTCTTCCGCCCAGCTAGTATCATTTCTTCTTTTCTATAGTAGGTACGTTTTCCAAAGCCAAAACTGCGTGAGGGCCGATCTTTAATTCTATTCTTCCAACAAATTCTAAACATTTCCCTCCAGCTAATCTTATTTTCTCGTGTGACATTCATTTCATCACATTCTCCCGCATTACTTTCTAACGTATCACCTTTTCCCCAGCATGAAATTCCTCCCAATGACTTTCTCCCATGCCTTGCGTACGTCGCACCAAGACGGCCATATCAGCGCCCATCAGAGCCGGGTGCTGATTCTCCCTATACCGACTCCAGTCTTCTTCATAAACTTGCGCTCTGTCATACAAGTAGCTTGTATGATGGTGTTGTCTTTAGCGAGATAATTGGAAGTAACATGGTAAAATATATAAGTAAGAAACACCTCAACGAGAACATAAACAAGTTTAGTTGGACTAAATTACAAAAAAAAATGTGGCATCGTTCAAATCCAAGAAAACTGAAGTTACACAGTCGATAACAAACACAAAATGATATTTCCCGATCTTTTCTAGTCACCACATCTAGATCTATCACAGTAACTTTTCACGAGCGCAATCTTCAGAATAAAATATCTCAACTTTTCGCTGTGGACTTAGAGTTAGCAACGAGAACTTCATGCCTACTGGCTATCTATCGCTCTGCGAGCACAGCAGCTTGTTTTGGCCGAGCACGCTACAGGTAACGACCCTCTCATGATGCTTATTATTAGTCTTGGTGGTCGAGGGAGATTGAGGGTAAGTGTTGAGAAAGCGAGAGTTATTGCAATTGTTTGGAAAGTGAGAGGGCGGGAGTATTTTTATTTAGAGAGACAATGTTTGAAGAGAGAGTGTGTGTGTTCGGGGAAGAGTGCGTCAGGAGAGAGTGTTTGAGTTTGGAGAGAAAGAATATTTAAGCTTGGAGAGAGATAGTGTGTTTGGAGAGCAAGAGAGGACAGAGTTTGGAGAGAGAGAGTGCTCGAGGAGGGGGCGCGGAAAGGCAATGTTGTGCTTCAGTATTTATGGAGAATTATAGGCAGAGGCTGAGAGAGGGAGCCGAGCTGCTCAACATAATGGGCCTGCAGGGCTGTGGGCGAGGGACCGAGAGTGGGCTTAGGGTCTGGGCTCATTAACGGGCTCAACTTTACTGCAAAACAACAGAACCTAGAAAATAGAGTAGGATTATTAAGGAACCTTGACTCCACATGTGACTTCAGAAAATGGAGTGGAATTGGTAGCCATTCAGTGGCAACTTATAATAAACTGATTTTGATGAGTAGGATTGTGATCATTTTCATCAAGACGGCTGTCGTGGCAAGCATCAACTGCATCAAGACGGCCGTCATAGCGTGCATCAAGTGCATCAAGATGGCTGTCGTGGTGAGCATCAACTACATCAAGGCGGCTGTCATGGAGAGCATCGTGTGCATCAAGACGGCTGTCATGGCGAGCATCAACTGCATCAAGACGGCTGTCATGGCGCTCATCAACTGCATCAAGACGGCTGTCATGGCGGGCATCAAGTGCATCAAGACGGCTGTCATGGAGAGCATCAACTACATCAAGACGGCTGACATGGAGAGCATCAACTACATCAAGACGGCTGACATGGAGAGCATCAACTGCATCAAGACGGCTGACATGGCGGGCATCAAGTGCACCAAGACGGCTGTCATGGAGAGCATCAACTGCATCAAGACGGCTGTCATGGCGAGCATCAAGTGCATCAAGACGGCTGTCATGGAGAGCATCAACTGCATCATGACGGCTGACATGGCGGGCATCAAGTGCATCAAGACGGCTGTCATGGCGAGCATCAACTACATCAAGACGGCTGTCATGGAGAGCATCAAATGCATCAAGACGGCTGTCATGGCGGGCATCAACTGCATCAAGACGGCTGTCATGGCGGGCATCAACTGCATCCAGACGGCTGTCGTGGCGAGCATCAAATGCATCAAGACGGCTGTCGTTGCGGGCATCAACTGAAATGTTCTGTGGAAATTCTGCCTGGGTACAGTATTCAGGGATCTATAATAGCGTAATAGGTGCACGTTTATATGTGAGAATTTTTTTTTAATTGACTTCAATTGTTTCAGCCGCAAGTATTCTTCACAGCTTCTGTTTTCAAGTTCGGCAACTGGCTTCTTACTTGCAGTACAGTGCAGGAAACTTGAGTTCAACTATCTATTATCGAGCGGAGACTCTTTGTTACATTATTATCAAGCTTAATTATTATCGAGCGTTATATTCTCTTGGCAGTGGAGACCCGCAGGTGGGCGCCGTGGTGACCTTACTAAGCTCCTCCCCCGCCATCTGCCTGAAACAGCACGCGTCCTACCGCTTCCTACGACGCCTTCCTACTGTATATCCTTGCGTACACAACATTGTCCTGTAAGGCTCCTTGTGGAGAGACATTCATCACATTTTGCTCTTCATCGAATCTTTTCGGGAAGAATTTTATCCTCTGCTCTATACACAGCATCGTTCATCGCCTTATTGATTTTCTTGATAACGTCGCAGTGCGTTATCACCTCAGTTTATTTCATATAATGCATCTGTATTATCCACACGTATTCATTCCTCATACCCATCACTATACACATTATCATACTCATAACTATACACATCATCCTACCCATGACCAACAAACGTGTCAATAGTTTCCAATCATAGCATTCAATATAACTTACACAAAGAACTCATGGCTACAATTAGACTATCAAAGATCCCCCTAAAGATTGCAGAAAACAATCCGAGTTAACAGCTGCAATTAGCTGAGATGTTGGGTAGGCAACGACCACCAAAGCTTTTTAATGGGCAGTTAGCTTACCATAAATTCAGCATGAAAAAGACCATCGTTTCACAAGGCAATCTCGGTTTAAACAAACAACTTGTCTACTACGAACGTTCGGTATAACGTCACTAACTTTCTGGCCACAAAAGTTCCCCGACAGTCGATGCGCCATATTATCTGAATATCCGTCACAAAAACAGACATAACTAAGCGAGGGAGGGGCGGGTGGGCTATAACTGCATGGAGTTCATATCACATCATCGGTATTTATCTGAAGGAAATAAAAATAATACTTTAATAATTATATAATCTAATATTCATCGTTACATATCCACTGCCATTTTCATCATTATGCGTAAGAAGTGGAGATTTGATTGGGCTATTTTTTTAAAGATACGGATTATGAACTGGACTTTCAATTATACGCATGGAGCCCAGACTGTCACCATATTATACACGCTATTTGAGATATAATGATAAGCATCAACTTTTGTTGTCTCTTGCAAAAGTACCTAATACAATGGCTTAACGTCAATGGATACGATATTTTTTAATGACGACGAAAGAATTTGACAGTTTCAAAAACTAACATTATATTTAAAGCGGACATGCAAAAAATATTTTGTCAATTTTACAGTTTTTTATTGCATTGAAATGAGGCCAGGGATGTAATCAAGAGAGGATGGAAAAACGACGCTTGCTTGCGATCAAGGTTCGACGCGTCATCAAATAGCTCTCGTCACATATTGCTTTCGTCGACATCACACTTACTTGACATGAGAGTCGACCAAAAACGCGTGGACTCTCTCCGTCATGAGAACAAGCTTGGCCTTATATTATTCATGAATTAATGTGCATTTTTGGACGAGTTTGACGAAGTTAGAGGAGTTGCTGCGATGTAACGAACTCTGCAATTTGGGCTGCAAGGGTCGGGTTGCCGGCCGCTGTTTTATCGGACCGCAAAACAGGCAAAGTTGCGGCCAATTTTGCTGGCCGTGCGCGGAATATTTGCCTGGGAACTGCATGCAAATTACAGTCAGCCCGTCGCTCGTCTTTGCAACGGGGTATGACATCGGCCTAAAATTGCATCGTCAATCGAATCTTGCATCCTTTTTACATAGGAAATGATTATGCGAGCAACGATTGCTTTCTATGAAGTTATCCTCTATATAACGTTGCAATAATTCGACTGAAAGAACAATAAACCGGATCGATTTTCGACATAATATTTTACCATCAATCTATTTCAGCGTTGTTTAGTTCAACTGATTGTAATTAAAATTTCCTAATAAATTGACTCGAACGTCATAGGATTCTAATCACATAAAAACGGTCGGGAAAGCATTCTCAGCAACAACATACCACCTCTGTAGTCCAGCCACGAAGCACCGCAAAGAACTGGTTCTTTAGACCCTAAGCAGTAAACTGTCGTCGTCCGTGTATGTGCGTGTTGTTATTTGTTAAGCTACGTTATTTGTCGCTGCGAGATGTGAACAGGATCTGCGTTTTACAAGACTTTTGAGAGCGGGAACTAGAATTATCGAAAATTATACGGTTATGAGGTTACTAACCTGCTTGCAGTAGTGCAGGACGGTTACTAACCTGCTTGCAGTAGTGCAGGACGGTTACTAACCTGCTTGCAGTAGTGCAGGACGGTTACTAACCTGCTTGAAGTAGTGCAGGACGGTTACTAACCTGCTTGCAGTAGTGCAGGACGGTTATTAACCTGCTTGCAGTAGTGCAGGACGTTAACTAACCTGCTTGCAGTAGTGCAGGACGTTAACTAACCTGCTTGCAGTAGTGCAGGACTGTTAACTAACCTGCTTGCAGTAGTGCAGGACGTTAACTAACCTGCTTGCAGTAGTGCAGGACTGTTAACTAACCTGCTTGCAGTAGTGCAGGAAGTTAACTAACCTGCTTGCAGTAGTGCAGGAAGTTAACTAACCTGCTTGCAGTAGTGCGGGACTGTTACTAACCTGCTTGCAGTAGTGCAGGATGTCGAGCTTGTCCTTGAGGCAGGTTATCTTGGCAGGAGCCGTGTTGGTGCGCCACTCCCCAGTAGGTGCCTGGTATTGCGCCAGGTACTCCGTGCGGCCACGACACACCATCGCAACCTGCGGCTCAAACCTGCTGCCGCCGCCTGATGCTCGCACCTGCAACACACGGGGACATAGAGTCAATATGGGTGCTGGCACACGGGGTACAGGGGTGCCGGTACACAGAGTCACGGGGCCATCACGGGACCAAGGGGCGTTGTCTGGTCCCGTGAGGTAGGGCGGGGTGCGGGGCGTGACAGATATGCGTTTCAGGACACGTACTATACGTGTTACTGACAGGAATGTGATGCTAGGGGGCGCGTGTTACTGGTAGGTAACTGATATGGAAATGCTGTTGGTAGAGAATTATTAAGGGTATGGATATGCTACTGGTAGAGACGCGTTAATGGTAGGAATGTGTTCCAACCAGCATTTGACGTTTAAACAACGTTGATTACACGTTTCAACCAAATAAACTCACAATAAATTTTTTTCGACGTCTTTTGCCTGGAGGGTTAATGAAAGGGATGTGTTATTGGTATGAAGTAAGAACTTGATGCAAATCACTGCGAGACAAGACAACAAGATTTCTTCTAATCAAACTCTAGGCAACACTTCGCCTCATGCGTCCCTGTGAGGTACGTGGAGCTGTTAGGCCGGCTTCACACCATACTGCCGGGCACGTGCCAGGCATGTCCAGTCCAATATTTTTTACTGCATTTCCATAGAAGCATTCACACCATGGACATGACAAGTGCCTAACGCGGCTGGTGTGAATGCTTCTATGAAAATGCATTCTAGAGTATTGGACTGGACAGTGACTGGCACATGCACGGCAGTATATATGCATGGTGGGAACCCGGCCTTAAGCTGCAGAGCCAATTCTAGGTACATGAGCGCATGCTTATACCATGTTATGCGATTGGGTTTCGCATGAATTTTTGTCATAGCATTGAATTGATGTTTAGGTTTCCGGTTATTTCATATTCATTCGTGCGGCACAGATGACAAGGGTATGTGTGAGTTACTGGGATCACAGTTTGAATCAGTCTTCAGTAACCCTCGCTACACAAGGGAGGAGAACGAAATCGAAGTTTTCCAGGAACTACCAGAAGGAAGGGGGTTGGAGAACATTGAGTTTGGGCCAGAAGATATGGAAATAAGTATCAAAGAATTGGCGACGTTTTCAGCTTCAGGACCCGACGGAATTCCGGCAGTGCTGTTGAAGAAGTGTGTTGGAGCACTGAAGGCTCCGCTCACAATGCTCTGGAAAGCCTCGATGATGGAGGGAATTATTCCTGAGGGCCTAAAAGTAGGACTGATAACGCCAATCCACAAAGGAGGTGCAAAGGACAGACCGCAAAATTACAGACCTGTGACCTTGACCTCACATGTGATCAAGGTTTTTGAGAAGGTAGTGGTCAGGAAGGCTTGTCCGGTATATGGAAGAGGCTGACCTGTTTAATAACGGACAAGATGGTTTCCGGCGTAATCGTTCCTGTTTGTCACAGTTACTGGAGCACCATCACCGTCTAGTGGCCCAGCTGGAAGAGGGAGCTGGCGTGGACGTGATATACCTGGACTTTGCTAAAGCTTTCGACAAAGTTGACCATGGGGTGCTCTTTAGAAAGCTGAGGCTGTTAACTGGGGGTAGGAGGAAGCCTGTTGAGGTGGATCCACAACTTCGTTACAAATAGAGTACAAGCTGTCGCAATTGGAAACTCGAAATCGAGAGAAGCGAAGGTGAAAAGCGGAGTCCCGCAGGGCTCAGTGCTTGGACCGATCCTCTTCCTCATCCACATTGCCGACATAGACTCGGAACTCACCCACACGTCTAGATCATCATTTGCGGACGATACAAGAGTGCTGATGAAGATCACAGATGACCTAGACTGCGAGAGATTACAGGATGATCTATCGTCAATCTACGATTGGGCCCTAGTGAACAATATGCAGTTCAACGGCACAAGTTCGAAGTAATAAGATACAGAGTCCGCACAGAGATCGGGATGCCACATCGCTACTTGGCATCAGATGGCACAGAAATTGAGGAGAAGCAACTAGTTCGAGATCTCGGAGTGTTGATGAGTACTGAAGCCACGTTCGATGCCCATATCGAGGAAATAGTCGCGCGCAGCCGGCAACGGATGGGGTGGATATGGCGGACATTTCGAACGAGAGAAGCAGCACCAATGTGTACACTCTTCAGAGCCCTCGTGCTCCCCAATCTTGAGTATTGCTGCCAACTTTGGTCGCCATTCAAGGCGGGTGCGGTGCGAAAACTGGAGGCAGGGCAGGTGACCTTCACGTACAGGATCAGCGGCATGAGGGAACTGAACCTGAACTACTGGGGGAGGCTGAAACACCTGGAACTGTACTCACTGGAGAGAAGAGAAAGGTATATCATACTGTACACTTGGAAGATGATAAACGGACTGGCTCCCAACTTTGAGAGTGAGACCTCCAAAATAATGACATATTACAACGAAAGAAAGGGGAGACTGTGCAGGATTCCCCCATTTAATAACCGAGCCGCGGCCAGAGTAGACTCTTCGTGATGGATCACTGTCCGTGGTAGGACCGAGGCTCTTTAATGTCCTGCCAAAAGCGCTGAGAGGAGGGGAGTTTACCCTTGCAACATTCAAGAGACGACTGGACAAGTGGTTGAGAAAGATCCCGGATTGTCCAGTAATGGGAAACCACCCTCAGCAAGTGACAAGCAACAGCATCTTGCATTAGCGTGCCCAAATGAGGGCTAATAGACGGAACACGTCCAACGTTACATCCGACGACGACTCGGAGACGGAGGACGACGAAGGCGGCGCATCAGCGTGACCGTGGACTACGACGTCCTAAACTCATCACAAGGTCACAAGGTCGTATTATTTCGTTACTTTTAATGGTGGGGGCAGTCACTCTCCATTAATCTTCCTCACATCTACTCGAGTTAATCGTCGGTATTTAGCATATTCCTCAAGATTTGATGTAAATAAAGTAAGGACTAAGTTTTTTGTTAGCGTTAGGCACGTTCTTCTGATGGCTATATATGATAGAAACAAACCGCAAGTGATGGTCATTTAGGTCCGGTGATCAAACTTTAATTGTAAACGAATTGAAGTCGTCAGGAATTTAGCGTCTCATTTGCAGCGGACGACCGCGCACATAAATGTGCACACGAATTTAGCGTCTCATTTGCAGAGGACGACCACGCACATAAATGCGCACATCAAAAGATATTACAGTGTGGCGCCTCATCAAAGACATTACAGCCTGGGCGCCTCTTTCTATATTATTAAGGCGCGCCTGCTAGACGGCGCCAGGAGGTCTCATGGAACAGACACAGCGTGACGTCATCGGCTCCAGGCCTTCCATGGAAAAATAGGCTGATGAAGAAAAATTTATTAAATGGGATTGTCATTTTGATCAATTATACGACTAACGCTTACTGTAGTAAGTAGGCCATTAGAGAAAAATAACATTGATGGCAGTTGAAATACTCGTAGATAAAAACTTGAAATAACTCACGCTGGCAGCCAGCACGACGAGCAATACTTTACTGTTGAATGCCTCTATGTACGAGTTGCTCCTATTAGTGTAAATAATAATGATATTCAAACAAGCTAACTTTGAGATATAATACCCATCACAATAAACGGAGGTCCTTTAAATACTGCACAATTCTTTCATAATTCCACGGAGAAACTTAACAGGAAAAGAGTTAAAGCTGACATCCCGAAAGAGCAGGGAAACAGTATACCGCACATATCATGCATATCACCAGCACAAATCATGCAAATGATCAGCACATATCATGTATATCATCAGCACATATCATGCACATCATCAGCAGATATTCTGCTAAGGCCGGCGGCAGGTAATGTTTAATTCAGCGCGTCTCAACACTTCCGGGATGGTACGTGGGGCGACGGGCGCCTCGCGCGCTGCAGATGAGCGGCACAGGCCCAGTCGTGGCCGTAACTGTACCATTACATTAACTGTACCATTACATTAACTGTACCATTACATTAACTGTACCATTACATTAACTGCACCATTACATTAACTGTACCATTACATTAACTGCACCATTACATTAACTGCATCATTGCAAGACGGCCAATTTAGCGATGGCAATCAGAATTTTTGCACGCAATCTTATACAGTAATTGAAAGATTACAATCTGCTGTAGTTTCGATAGCAAGTGCTGTACCTATAGTAATTTAATCAGATAATTACGTCAAAATTAGAGTATAGCTAACTTGCTGCCATCCCAATACAATAGACAAATGCGGAGGCAATGCCACTCGGCAATCTAGCAACAATTGAACAATCGCAATCATAATTTCACTCGGCAATCTCACAACTGGGCATTTACCATCGTAATTACAAACGGCAATCCCAAAACTATTGGCCAATCGCAACAGCAATGTAACAACACAAATTCAGTTTCTCTTCAAATACCCTTCATATAGCTACAACTATTTATGAAATTATATTAATTACGATTGTAATAATATAATGAACAAAATCATGACTTGGTAGTTGACCACGAGTTGTTACATCCTCAACGATGTATGGCCTAGCTTAAGAACATTTAGTTGTGTAGCGAAAAGTTGTGGTAATAATAAGAGTGGCGGTCATCGAAAGAACCTATAAGGAAGCTTTTGTGTTGGACTTTGTGTTCTACTGTCGATCACAAAACAATGGACTTTGTGTTATACTGTTCACTGTTCGAAGTGTTCCACTAGCGTACACTAACGCTTTCCAAAATAGGGCGCGGGTAGCCACGGCAGTCCTTGCAGCGGCCATATATTCAATATGAGGACTAACATCCAAGCTGATAAATTATGCACGTTGTAACTATCATAATTGCGGATTGTTTGGATGAATGGCGGTATATTATTATAGACGGCAACATTATTACCAGAGCTCTGGATACGAATAGCATAGATGGTTAATGCATCCGTAAGACAAACGGTTTAGTTTTCACACGCACCCGACATCACACGTAAATAAGACGGCGCCATACTTGCACAATAAAGCGGCAAAAACGCCATGCAAACGCAACTAGACGTCAGACGCATGTAATATGACGTCACATACAACGCATGTAACA